TTCAATGAAATATTTGCTTTGGAAATAATTTAGGGATTCATTTTGGTAGAAATGAATGAATTTTTAGCATCCATCCAGCCACATCTATTTTATTAAGTAGCGAGAGCAGGAAGAGCCGTACTGCTGAGAGCGAACCATCAGAGTGGAGCGCAGACTCTGAGCTAAGCTACGCAAAGATGCATTTCTGCACAAGCTCAGCTGGAGGAGCAGAGTTAGCAGCACCGGACCTGCTTTCCGTGGGAAAATACTAATGTTTTATTGTTCAGGGCTTTAATGATTAAAGTATTTCCAGCAGTGAAAGGTCCGGTTCTGATGCTCTGATTCTCCGTCCCTCCATCTTCTGGCTGGACAGACAGACAGACTTTCATGTAGAACCTGGAAGTAACTTCTTCTCTGAGTCGATCATCGTTTCTCTTCCTCCGATTCTCCAGTGTGAACATGGAGGTCTTGAAGTCTGAAGCTGGATCTCTGAACCAACGGCTCCAAAACTCCAAGAAGAAAGTTTCCTGTTCCTCCGAGGACCTGAAGGAGCAGTACCTTTTGGACATCCAGGTGATTCTGCAGGCTCCGCCCCCTTAGAGCCTCACCTGCTACTGAACAGAAACGCATCAGAACCGTTTCCTTGTCCTGCAGGAGAACCTGCGGTCCTGTGAGCAGCTGCAGCAGGTCCTGTCTGTGGTTGAGGAGCGCAGGCAGGACCTGGCCGACTACCTGTGTGAGGACATCAGCAGCTTCTCCCTGGATGAACTCTTCGGGACCATTAGGACCTTCAGAGGACTGTTCCTCCAAGCTCTCAAGGTGAGCAGCCAATCACAGAAGCTCCAGACTCCTGAGGACGGTTTAACCTAGCAGTGTTCTCCTCTGACAGGAGAATGAAAGCCGCAGAGAGCGGGAAAGGAAGAGGAAGCAGACAGAAGAGAAGAACCTGAAAGGAGAGTCTAACAACAAGAAAGGTGAGTTCCACCTGAGAGAATGCCTGGACCAATCAGAGACCAGGGTCTGTCTGCAGGTGAACGATGTTTGTTTCCAGTCAGGAAGGAGGTGAACCAGAAGGACGAAGGCTGCATCATTGATAACCTGCTGGCGGAGATCAGGAAGGGCCACACCCTGAGGAAGACCAGAACCCGGTCCCAACGGGGCAGCAGAGACCGAGGTGAGACTAGCAGGTAGAAGATATGGAGCCAGATGTTCACACGGTCTGACCTTAACTCAGGCCAATATTTTCTGATAATATTGCTGATTTTAAGCTCAGGATTTTAACTGTTGCCACCCTAACCCGACTGTGGCATCAAAATTTGACCTGCTTTTTTTCCTTAACAGTAAAATTCTGATAAACCTTAAAATCGCATCTTCACTAGTTCTGGGGTTCAGATCTGAACTGATCATCTCATTGTTTTTCAGTGCGTCATGCAACCATGCGAAGGACGAAGGCCTTGGATGAGCCGGATACCTTGGTTTCCGGCCAATCACTGATGACCTCTGGAATGGCCCCCATCCAAGAAGCTCCGCCTTCCAATCCAGAATACTCTACCCATTCAGGGCAGCTGTCCGAGGCAGCTCTCTGCTCTGCTTCCTCTGAAACCAACCTAACTGTGGAGGCATCTGAAACACAGGAGATCCCTGAAGCTTCTTACTCTGAACCGGGACCTGATACCGGATTAGCTGGGGCTCCTGAAGAAACCCTAGAGATCCAGAACCTGCAAAAACCTGCTACCACTAAAGCTGCTGATGCTGCAGAGAAGATCCACAGCGACATTTTAGAGTCTTTGGGGGACTCTGGTGTGGACGGTGAAACCCGAAGTCCCAGAGGATTTGAGGAAATTCAGCCAAACTCTCAGGGTCCAGCACCAAGCCGAGAGCCAGATGAAGGGTTGGACTTTGAGTTCATCACTTCATCAGAAGTGAGAGGAATCAGACCTGAAAACAGCAAGGATCCAAATGCGAAACCTGGAAGATCATCAAAGAGGACCAAGAACCGTTCAGCAGGTACAGAAAACACTCAGCAGAGAACAGGAGATGTTAGCTAAAAAACAACATTAAAGATGGTCGTAGAATCTCTAGAATCGAGCTTGAGTTTTGTTCTCTTTTGGCATGGTAGATGGTAACTGAC